TTCCTTCTAGCATGAATGGACCCTTGAGATAGTGCAAGAAATGAGAAGAGATTAATGGTCAAAACAAACTTGGAGTGAAGACTAAAAAGAGAAGGAAAAAGGAACTTCCTGAAACAGAACAAAAAATTCCAGAAGATGCAAAAAAAAATTAAACCTATATTTATAGTAAAGATTGGTAGAAATATATATGGTAGATATTTCGTAAAGATTTAATAAACCTATATTTAGTAAACGGAAACCCACTTCCTTCATCCTCTGTATTCTCTCTTGGTGTACATACACTCATCAATAAAACCTTTAGCCAATATTCCTCCTTAAATTTTCTCTCTCCTATTCTTTGTGTTGTCTTGTATCCTATTAGAAACTTCCCAATTAAGGAAAATATCTTCAAGGAGAATTTTGAAAAGATTTGGGAAGCGTTAAGCTTGACAACATACCAACCAATTCCTGGGTTTACTTTAAAAAAAATTGGTTGATTTCGCTCCCACCATAATTCAGAAATAATTGCTTTAATTGCATTGACCCTTAAAAGATAGGTCAGGAAGGAATGCAAGGACCAATGAGTAAGTGAGAGTATTGCACTTAGAATCGATGTGGAGGATCCATGGATGCTGAAGAAGTTAAAAGGCTTGTACCAACAGGATAAGGAAAAAGAACACTCAAATAACAAGATACCCGTCTCTGAATCCGAGCAACATAAAGGGCACCGGGTAGGTATTAAAGATGAAGGGATCTTTCACTGTAAAACATCCGAAGAATTGGAACCTTCAGTGGTTCTACCTTCCGAAGATCTTTCAAAAGACCATCTAGTGACGTTGAAATTCCCACCCATGCACCGGGAATATCTCAGTAAACACTTGTCACCGGTTAACTTATCTTAACTCTTTCACCTTTCTCACTCTTTCTCTCACACAACTCCCTGAAAAGCCTCCAGAGTTCCCAATTATCTAGGAAGAAAGCCATTGAAATGCCATCTGGCTCAAAAGTTTTCTCTCTCTCAAAACCAAAATCTCACCTCTCCAATTTTCTCCAAAGGGAAGGAAGTTTCTAGATCACTTGTATTCTCTTCTGAAATGGGGCACCAATCAAGGGCATCCAGAAACGGCCTTGTAGAGATGGATGGACAGTAAAAGGAAGAAAACAAACGTTACAATTTGTGGAAATTGCTTGATTGGATGTGCAGCTCAACAGAATCGGAAGTGTAAAAAAAGGAGGAAGTTGATGAAATTCTAACATAATTTGTGGAAATTGCTTGATTGGATGTGCAAGCTTTCAATACCTACAATGTTGACTTTTACAGCCTTATTTACTTTTATTTTGATGAACAGTGCTAAGCTACGAGCAAGACAAAAAGAACGGCTTGCTAAAAGAAACGCAATGGAAGAATCCTTCCTTCGTGAGGGAGTGACTCTACATGGGTCACTCCTTCACCCTCAGTATCCTCACATCAATGCGGCAGATTCAGATCAAGCACCAGGATCATTAGAAACTAATAAAGAGAGGACTGCAGTATTTATCTTGGAGGATGACAAACTTATCCAGTCAGCAGATGCTCCAAAGAGCCAGATCAATTCAACCTCGAGGCTGGGAAGAATTTCAAGGCACACAATTAGCAGTAAATTAGATCTTGCTGTTGGTCCAATAGAGTATTCGTCCGCTGATAATTGTCCTCCAAGCCAACATTTTCTGGGCACCAGTCATGCAAACTCAGTCCCGATCAACTTGTTGCCGGTTCTTGGACTTTGTGCTCCTAATGCTAATCAGCATGAGACATCACGTAAAAGCTTGTCAAGATCAAATTGTAAGCAGAGCCGAATCGGAGCTGGACCTGATTTTCCATTTAAATTATCCCCTTGCTCTGGTACTTTAAGTGGCACTGATATTGGTGGTGCTGAGGCTATGCCAGACAAAGAATTGCCGACTTCATCAGTAGAACGCTTGCAGGGCCATCTTTTATTTGCTCAGGTGAATTTTGTATCATTTTCTGTTCAGTTTGTGGATGGCTTTCTCTATTGAGTATACTTCAGAATTTCCTGATATTTAGAAAGTCCATCTCTGATTTACAGGAAAATATGACGACCCACAATTTTCCCTTTGATGAGAAAATGCTGCCCAGATATCCAATCCCATTGAAGAACTTGCCTAGTTCACGGCTTAACTTCTTATCAAATCTGTCCCTGGATAGCAGAGTTGAAGCCATTAATGGCTGTCTTCCAACCATACCTTTACTACCCAGTTTTAAACTTCCTTCCCTAGATGTTATGAGGGGAAATCAACAAGATGAGGAGGAGGCTTCCTCCTTGGGTTTGGGACAGATGCTTCCAGCATTTTCGACGTTTCCTGAGAATCATAAGAAGGTGCTTGAAAACATAATGATGAGGACTGGATCTGGATCTGCCAACTACTTCAGAAGGAAACCAAAAGGAGATGGTTGGTCAGACGATGAACTTGATTTTCTTTGGATTGGTGTCCGTAGGCATGGAAAGGGAAACTGGGATGCCATTCTTAAAGATCCTAGATTGAAATTCTCAAGGTACAAAACTTCAGAAGATTTATCATCCAGGTGGGAGGAGGAGCAACTAAAGATTTTGGATGGGCCAGCTTGTCAGGTGCCAAAATCAGCTCAGCAGAGTAGATTACAGACATCTTCTCCATTTCCAAGTCTCCCTGATGGGATGATGACACGGGCTCTGCATGGAAGTAGACTGGTTACAGGATCAAAATTTCATACCCATCTAACAGATATCAAACTGGGTCTCGGTGATCTCGTACCTAAACTACCTCGATTTGAAGCATCAGATTGGCTTGGTTTGCAAAATGAGCAACTTGCAAATATACCAACCTGGAACCATGACAAATATCACACATATGTTCCAGGAGAATGTTCGGCAGGAGCTTCTGATCGATCAGGGGCAAATTCAGACATACCTGTTGGAAACCCTTTTATGTTCAATCCTTTGGGAACTAGTCGCTTGGGTTCTTCGGGTTTAAAAAGCTCACATAGCTCTGATAGACAGGGAAAGGAGAATGATGAACCTGGTCTTGATAACTACGGGATGTTGCCTAATCTTTTGGATGGATCTTTGAAACTATTTGGTGAATCACCAAACAATTTTGAGAAAGGTTCAGGACAGCTGCCTGATCCCAGCGAAGGGATCAGTTTAGCAAATTTGAAAGAAGTAACAGATGGTAATTCTTCAAAGGGCAAACTACCCCATTGGCTAAGAGAAGCTGTAAAAGTTTCTTCCAAGCCTCCAGACTCTAACCTGCCTCCTACTGTGTCAGCAGTTGCACAATCAGTTCGCTTGCTATATGGGGAAGACAAATTTATTACCATTCCCCCATTTGTGAATCCAGGTCCAGCTCCCTCTTTACCTAAAGATCCAAGGCGGAGTCTAAAGAAGAAAAGAAAAAGGAAATCGGTTATTTTCAGACAATCCCCACCAGATGTAGGAAGCAGCCAACAGGAGGAGCTTGACGGTGGGCCTGTCCAAGGCGATGCTACCGTTTCTTGCTCCATCTCATTGGTCTCACCACTTCCCATGAATCCACAGCCACAGGAAATGGCAGGAACTTCAAGGCTTCCAGGTCTGGAATCTGACATCAGCGTACCTGCTCTAAACTTGAACATGAATCCATCATCCTCAACCCTGCACACGAACCAGCAGAAGAAACCAAGCATGGGACTGTCCCCATCACCGGAAGTTCTAAAGTTAGTTGGGTCTTGCGTCACTCCCAGCTCACATAGGTCATCTTTATCAGGGAACTTGAACTCAAGTCTCCTTGAAAAGCTCCCCCTATCAACTTCTCATGATCCAGAAGAGCTCTTGGGTACCAAAGGTTTGTCGGGAAAGAGTAAAAAACAGAGGTTATCATTCAATTCGTTAGATGTCTACAATGAAGACAGACCAAATTCCCCTGGAAGTGATGAGTTGAGTGAGACACAATCGGACCCCTCAAGAAGCCAAAGACCTGATGGGGAAGAAATATCATCTGAAGGGACTGTGTCCAATTGTCAAGCGAGCGACAAAGAATTGTAGTTGTAATAAGGTGTAACAGTATAGGCATTTTTTAGTGCTTCGGGAGGCTGTATGTGAATGTGCTTGAATTTTTGTAGGCATGCTCCAATGAGTTAAATGCTGCATTGGTGAATGTAGGGTTACTATTAGCATATCTTGTGTAAAGCTTTTTGGAAGAGAAATGTGAAATATGGTTCTGTTTTGCCACTCCTTAAAGCACAAGCACTGAAGTGTTCCTGATTCTTTGTAATTGTAGGACTGTAACCTTCCTTCCTTGGAAACGACCAAAATGGGATCGCTAGTAAAAAGTGAATTGATGGTGAATCTCCGCCTCTCCGGTACAGGTATTTTCTTCTACTCCCATCCCTCTTCATCTTTTTGGCAATTATTCTATACTTGAAGATAACAGCAATCCTGGCACACTGCCCAACAAATAATGCTATTTCCTACTAAATTGATGATACAAATATCTGAAGCTTTTAGCATTTCATTCAGAGATAAATAGAAATTGCTAATTTAGTTAGCTTGATCACTTGAAAATGAAGAAAGAATAGCAGCACCCAAATCCTTAAAATACATGAACCCTAATTTACGCAAATTCTCAGACCATTAACAAAAGGGGTGTTAGCCGTTAGGGGTTGAATACTTTAATCTTATATTTTCTTTATACACAAAAACTAGTCAAGCCGTCTGTGGCAGTGAACTGATGTATATTTGCCTCCATCCATTCCGGGATTTTGCCAACCACTTCCCTCCACTTTCCTCTCTCCCAAAACCATCTAATTCCAATCTATCCTTCTCTTTTTTAAAGAAGAAACTATGTCAAGCAAAATTCTTATTCTTATTCTTCTCTCTATTACTCCTTTATCCATCCCCATCCGTCTATCACTTTTTTTTTCTTTCTAAGATCTTCATGTGAACCTCACTCTCCCTAAGCTACAATCATTGATTCAGTTATTTCACAGGAGAAACCATTGGATAGAAATTATCTCTGGAATTCTTGAACCAGGTATATTTTTATATATAAATCAAAATCACCCTAATGTTGCATACAAGTTAAAGATCGGTTAAGAAAGAGGAAAGAAAAATGCTAGGGATAGAGATCGCGCTAGCGAGAAGCAGTGACTGTTCCATCAGGAGCAGGACGAGAAACAGTTCCTGGATTGGACGCGAATCTCGAGGAGAAAGTGCAGAACTGATAGTAGTGCTCATCTAACAAGCTTCCGCACCCGCTGGTGTCGAAGTTGAGAGAGTAGCTCAAAGGATCGTAGCGGCATTGGAAGTTGCTGCTGCTCTCTCCAGTTGTGCTACAGAGTACTCTGCCGCGTTTCTTCAGTTTGCGCAACAGTTTGGCGATGCGGTTGCAGTGCGAGGAAGATACCTTTGTGGCGAGCGAAGTCGCAGTTACGGCGGCGGTGGCAGAGGATGTGCTAGTTTTGGCGGCGGCAGAGGAGTTCTTCGGCCACCAGAGAAGCCACATTTGCGCCATGTGAGTTGGAGTTGAAGATGAAGATGCCGGTTCCGTGGCAGTTGCAGAGCAAAGAGCGGTGAAATGTGGAAAGTGGAAGGCGATTGAGATGAGATGATTGGCGAGCAATTTGAGTATGAAGACTGTGGTAGTTTATTTATGTAGAGAAGTGGGAGTGTGGGTTGCACGCGTATATGAGAGCGCGTGAGAGTGAAGTGTGTCGTTGGATCTCAGCGTGATTGCGAAAGATAAAAAGAAAAAGAAAAAGAAAAAGAAAAGGGTTGCCTCCTTTTCTTACTCTCTCTGGGAAGCCATGCGTCCCCCACGTGATCCAGCAGTGGTAAACCCTAATTCCCATTTGCTCCCCTTTTCTGCATAGTTCTTTTTCTTTTTCTTGTCTTTTCTTTTTTTTTTTTTTTTTCCCTAAAACAATAAAATAATTTAATAATAATAATAATATTGATTACTTAGGTCGATGGGAGAGGGCAAATGATTTGAGTGAGAGTGAGACAAGATGGTTCATGCCATGGCCCCGCCCACGCTACTCCACCTTTGCATTACTTCCCATTTCATTGCCTTTTCTTTTGCAGGCCCCTACTTTTTCTTCGTTTTCCATATTTCATCAAATAATATAAAATAAAATTGTAAAAACATATGCAACCATGATTGGTTTAGATTTATTTTTATTATTTCATTGCCTTTTCTTTTCTTCCCGGTGATGATGATTGGTTTTCATGTTCAATTCCACTAGGCATGAATTCTTCGGAGTGGGTCAGTAACCCGAGCATCTATTCCCTTGTGTGCTACTTTGGTTCATCTCGACTTCACTCAAGAATGTACTTCATAAGCAAAAGGAAAGGTATGGTTGCATTGGATTTTGGATCCAAATTCAGTTGGCCAATATTATAGCATCACTATCTACCACACATGATTTTCTGGTTTCTGTTTATTATTCCTAACCATGTGCAAACCACGTGCCCTCTGAAGCGCCAAAGCTTTCATTATTTGTTTTAATTTTCTCTGTTTTTATTATATTAAAAATACATAAATGGGATGAGAGGGGAAAACACAAGGGAAGATCATTGGGGAAACAAGTTTGACCGAGGCATGTGCCTATCCTCGGAATCTAAAAAATCTTCTATTTATTTATTTATTTATATATATTCTTTTTAAATACCACTTAGCTCCAATCAACTTGCCTTCCATAAAGTTTGCTTAAAATATGCAATTGTATATTTTCGTTTTATTGTTTTTTTTTTTTTTTTTTTTTT